GTTTTTTTCTGAAAAGAAAAGAAAAGAGGTCATCTGTTGGTTTTTCAGGTGTATGGAGTTTGTCATCCTTCTTTGTCTTCTAGAGTCACAAGAGGTTGGGCTTTAGCCTGGAGAGATGACTCTAACTAGCTATTTCCTGTATCTTAATGGCAAAAGAAGTGGTTAATAGGGTTGTGAGATCTTGCATTAGACAGTATTTTCCTGGTGGCTTAGAGACCAAACTTAGAAAGGTAGCTGGGTTTAAAAGATATCCAATATTTTGGCCTTGGGCCTCCAAGGTCAACAAAGACGTAGGACCCGAGGGAACCTCTCTACAGAATCCTATAACTTTGGTGGTCACCCAACCTCCTGAGCAAGGAGATTGTTGCACTCCAGAGGACAAGAGTCTACCAATGCTTAGTGTGCCAAAAAGGAGGGTCGCCTAAAAGGGAAAAGTCTCCCATACTCTCACAGAAAGCCCCATGGTCAACCAAGACCATGGCCCATCCTGCCAACTGACACTAACAGAGGAGCTGAGAGGCTCTAACCATAGTTTCCAAAGTAATGCCTGGGGAATACTTAACTGACCTTGATAGAAAACAAGAGGTAAATTTTGGTTAACACGGGTTTCACTTTAACCTGGTCTTGAACACCCAGCAGGGGAGTATAAACTAAGACCTGTAAAAGTAATAGCAATATAGGCTAATTGTAAAAAGGGGATGCAATCCTTGTCCCCTGTTGAAGTTTCCAGCTACACCTGTAGACAGGTCTAGCTGGCTACAAGTGCTATTCCAATCCCTTAAGAACAGTGTCTGACATGGCTCCTTCCCCAGTCTGCCTTTCCATTCTAGTCCCATGATTTGGTCATACATGCCTTAATCTCTTGGTAAAGTTTTTTTATTCTCACCCAGACTGCCAAATCCCAAGAAATCATACAGGTGAAATCCACAGTAAAGGTGTCAGGCAAGGTTCCGGCTTCAAGTTATAACATGACATTTTTGGGTCTTTTCTGTTTCTTTTGAGATCATCCAGGATTATTCAAAAACTGCCTCTAGTAGAGATAATAAACAATGACTGCCTACATGACACCTTTAAGCTAATCACATTTTGGGCTGGGGATTTAGCTCAGTGGTTCTGCTGCCTGCCTCAAAAGCGCAAGGTCCCGAGTTCCATCCCCGGTACCAAAAAAAAAAAAGTGTTAATCACGCTAATCACATCTTTCTCCTATCATCAACAGCCACTTAAGAACTCCACAGACAGCCTAGATGAACTTGCCTACACCACTGACTACTTGACAGACAGCCTAAACAAAATTGCCCAGAGTATTCCCTTCCTTCAAGACCAGATAGACTCACTAGCAACAGTGGCTGTAGAACATCAGAGGAAACTAGATCTCCTAACAGCTGAAACAAAGGAGCTATGTTTGTCCTTAAACAAAAAAAAAATCCATGAAACAACTGGTGGTGACCATAACTTGAGACCAGAACCTGATGCCACATCCATGGTTCATCAGGAAACCTCTGGAGGAAGGGCTCAGCTCCCCTGGACTTCTAGATCAGTCACGGTGAGAGTTCCTTGGTCTTTGCATAGGTAGGGCCAATGCCCCTATTCAGCCAGAAGTAGCTATAGAATATACAACTTCCACCTTCAATTCCCCTCGAAGATTTTCTGGGACCAGGCCTCTCAGGGGGAATAGTAGAGTTAGAACAAGGAGATAAGTGAACCACTCCCTTCCCTCCAGTCAACTGTAAACACCATCCTATTGATTATCCACGCTTCTGTTGTCCTAAAAGAGCCACAAAATAAAATAACAGAAGCCTAAGACCATATTCTGAAGTGAAATAAATTGGACACGCATGTTCAAATACTGCATCCTTCCTCTAGTGTGAGAAACAAAAAGTGTAAGTAAGCACCAAAATGTATAAAAGATATTGGGAAATGGAAAGAAAATGTTCAAATGAGAAGGGAAACAAGGGAAGGGGAAGGGGAAGGGGAAAGGAAAGAAGGGCCAAGGGAAAAAATGGAAACAAAGCTTTTGTAAAGAAGGAAGGAAAAAGAGGTTGATGAGAGGGGAGGGAATGGGGGAAAAAAAGAAGTAAGATATATCATGTGCCACAGCCCAAGTGGCCGAAGGGTTCACAGAGAAACGATGGTGGAAGATTAAGAAAGACAGACAAAGACGATGACAAATTGATAAAGCAGAGGCCAGGTGGAAACCCCTTTTCCTGATGGGATAAAATGGCTGGCTGGCATCCTCCGCACCTTTATTTATAGTGTAGAGATTTGGGAAGCACAGGGGGAGGTCAAAGAGGATGCCTGTGATTGGAACAGGGAGAGTGGCTAGGGTCTGCAGGAGACCATGCTTGATGTTTCTCTGGCGAATGGGCAGGAAGGAAGACAGTCCTCTTCTTGGCCAGGTCTTGCTCCACCACACCCTCTTGTCACCTGTCCTTCCCCAGGCCCAGCCTCCTCCAAGGGAGGAAGTGAACAAGATGTGTGTTCCTCATTCCAGGCGGGGCCCTGCCTCGTCCTCAGGAGGAGGCAAGTTAGGCCTGGCCATGGTGATCACAGGGCAGCGCTCCCAGCAATCATGTACAGGTACAAATTCCCTATGATGAATAATATCATGGTGTATATCTAAAATGTACCGATAAAAGGAATTTTTAAAAAATGCCTAGGAGGTTGCCATGCCTGAGGCTACACATCATTGTGTCTGACCCTGTAAATACTGAAAGCCTGAATTATGGACCCCTCTTTTCTTTTTCCCTTCCCTGTTCCTGCTGCTACTGTCCTGTGTTCGTCATTAAAAATACCTGCTTGCTACATCCTATAAGGTGCACACTTGGCAGTTCTTTCCTCATCTTAAACAAGAACCTGGACTGTTTTTTTGGCACCTTCAACTGTAACACAAGTACAAAGGGCTGATTAATACATGAAAATGTGTTCAACATCACTGGCCATTACAGAAATATAAATTAAAACAACACTGAGAATCCATCTTACTCTAGAAAAAATGGCCATCATCAGGAAATCAAATAATAACAAAAGTTGGCAAGACTGTGGAGATAAAGGAACCCTTCTACATCATGGGTGAGAATATAAACTAGCACAACCACTATGGAAATCCAAACAGAGATTACTCAAAAACTAAAACTGGAATTCCATTTGATGTGGTTACTCCCCTTCTAGGTATGTTCCAGAGAGAGTTAAAGAATCATTAACAGTAATCCAAACACATTCATGTTTATAGTAGCACAACTCATAATAGCTAAATCTTGGAAGTGGCCTATATGCCCATCAACTGATGAATGCATAAAGAAAATGTAGTTTATACACAATGGAGTACTATTCTGCCATAAAGAAGGATAAACTTGAGTCATTTTAGAAAAACGAATGCAACTTCAGACCATTATTTTAAGTGCAATAAATCAGACACACAAGCTTGAATATTGCATAGTTTCTCTTATATAAGAATTCCAAAGTGTAAGTAAATTAAATAACAAAATTAAAGATAGATGATAGGAAATAGGAAGCTAGAACTTTTACAAAGGGGAAAGAGACCAGAAAAGGGTGGGGAGGGAAGAGGGGAGGAAAAGAGGATAAAAAAGAATTAAGATGTGTTATGTACATATATCAACTTCCCACAAGGAATGTAATCTTTATGTGCAGGAGACCAGCTTGAAAATGCACTGGGGAGGCTTTAAATATTATTGAATTGGCTTATAAGTTGGCTATTGGTTAAGTTATGAGTCAATCCAAGGTCTATGTGTGACTTGTCAGACAAGCCTTTGGCCAGCATATGGAAACAGGATTCCCTATGCCACTGTTCACAGCTAAGCCCTTGATGCCTAGTGATGCCGTAAGATCTCTGAAAGCCAGGTAACACCGAAGCTGGGGATTTATGACTCTTACGGAGCTGCTCTCACAGATCAAGTGTTAGCCAACTGGCTTGTTAACGATGGCCCGTCCTTCTCATGAATGGAATAGTTCCTCCCTTTTACAAGCCTGGTTCATTAGTGTCTTAGTCCACTGTTCCCTCATGTGCCTTTACACCTCCTGCTATGCTGTATAAACAGTAAGTGCTGACCAGTCCAGAAATCATGATCTCAACCAGAAAGAGCTAAAACCAGTTCCTGGCCCTCTAAATAATTAAACAATCATTATTCTTTTTTTTTTTCTCTCTTTTTTTGGTACCAGGGATCGAACTCAGGTCCTTGTGCTTGCAAAGCAGGCAGCAGAACCACTGAGCTAAATCCCTGGCCCTATTCTTTATTCTTTGTCTATAATTCTTTCCTCCTCAGCTGTACCCTCAGTCAAGTAGTTGGGCATCCCCCAATAATTATGTGCTGCCTATGTGTACTAATAAAAAAAGAAAACAATTTTTAAAATAAAAAATGAAATCAAAGGCACTTGCCTGTAGTCACATGACCTGCTAGTGTTGGAGCTGAATTGCAATCATTTTGCTGCAAACTCTGGACTTTGAAGATGAGTAGACTTGGGACTACACCCTGGCTCTACCAGGTCAGCAGCTATCTGCATCACCTCATGCCTGTCCTCACCACTCTGAGCCTCAACTGCACCTATGAAATCTGTGTAATGACTCCTTCCTCCTAGAGCTGTTGAGGAATTGAAATGAGAAGACTGTGTGTGATGTGCCTCGAAGCAGACCATACCTCTGAGAGAGTCAGCCCTCTGTCCCTCTCTGCCCTTCTCTCTCCCGCCTGGGATGGAGGGGCCGGGGAGAGAAAGAGCCAGCCAGCCTCTGTGGACAGATGCCTGCAGGGAGGTGCACAAGCTGGAAGCCAAGCCCAGCCAATCTTAGTAAGGAGCAGCGTGAGCTGTGGCATCTATGGAGGCCGCGCCCCAGGACTGGCAGGCAGATCCTCCTTCCTTCGTGTGGGAGTCGGGGTGCGGCTCCCAGGAGAATCTCTGTGGAGCTGAGAGGCGTGAGAGGACAGTCGGGTGCAGCCCTGCTCATCTGCTGGCTCCTCTGCTCCTGTCGGTCTCCACGTGTACCAGCCATGGGAACCCTTGCCGGACACTTGCTGCCAGCAATAGGCTTTCTTCTCTTCTCACTCTACTACGCAGTGTTGCTGTCCCTGGCCCTACTACGGGGACACAAGGTCCTCAAACCCCCTCTGCCCCCAAAGGAGAAGCGAGGACACAGTCTGTGGCAGCGGGAACCACTGGAAGGAATCGTGAAGGTGGTTTTCACCTTTACCGGCATCTTAGGTGAGCTCTTCTACCCCCCGGGGGTAAACAGGACGAGGCTGGTAGATTGGGATGACCCTCAACGGCCGTTTTTGTTCAAGGATAGCTGGCAGCACATCACCATGTACTCCTTTTTTATGCTCAGTGGGGTGGTGGACATTGTCAGCCAGCGGTGTCTGGCCCGGCAGAATGTGAAGTTGGAGCAGGCAGCCCAGGCCCTGGCCTTCTACGTGGTGGTGCTACTGATGGCTACCCACATTGAGAACAGGAACACCTTAGAGATCCGAGTGCATGTCCTGTTCATGGTGCCCACCTTCCTGCTAGCCCTGATGCTCAACATCGAGGTCTGGGTCCCAGACCAGCCCCCACTCTGGGTGCTCAAGACCTGGATGGGGCTGGTGCTCAGCAGCTGGCTGCTGCAGCTGTGTGTGGTGTTGTACGCTCCTCCCTCCGGACAGCCCTGGCGGGCCGACAGCCCCACGGACATGGCCTTTCTGACCACCTTCTTCTGCTGGCACCTGGGCTTAATGGCTCTCCTGCTGGCTGCTATCTATGGCCTCTGCAGCCTGTGGGTTCGTCGCTACTCTTCCTGGATGGCATCTCCAGGGGTCAAGTACAAGATGTGCCCCACCGAAGCCAGCAGGGAAGAGCTGGAGAGGCTCAGGCAAGAGGATGAGCTGCAGGATGGAGGTGTCTAGGTGCAGAGACTTCTTTGTGCTTTGTCTTTGGTAATGAGTTTCAAGCATTCTTGTGGCACAGATAACAACAAATGTTCTGGAATCCAGAGTGTGGCTTCCTATCTGGTGTTCCCAAATAAACCTCCCAGCTCAAGGGTGCCTTTTATCTGTCACTGTGTCGTCTCCTTGCCTGTTTCATTGCTCTCTGGGCTCCTGGCCATGCAGGTCTATGAAGGGAGAGCAAGGAGGAATGCTTCGGGGGCCCAAGAGGAAGGAGTGAAATGAGGAAATAAGGGGAGATGAAGGAGGAAATGGGTGGGGACCCAGGAGGATTGGACCTGCCTCCGGGTCAGGGTGCGTGTACGGGCCTGCAGTGCAAGTGGTGCAATGTGAGAGAGAGAGAGAGAGGCTTTGTTTGTACAGAGTGGTGAAATGTTCTCTTCATTTCTTTATTTTTTATCCACACTGAGTGTAGCAGGATAACTTCTGTGGCTTTTTTTCTTTTTAAAAGACCTAAACAGAATGAAGCTCCTTCTGTCTCCTGAGAAAGTAAGAGACAGAGGAGGTTGTTGGTGGGGTGGGAGGTGGGTGGGCCAATCAATTTAGCCAGGGCTCAAGCCCAGAGGGAAAAGGGGCCAGGGAGGAATTCCCAAAGGTAGCTACCAAAAATGAGGATTATGGGAATATAGTTTTCAATGGTGTGGCTTTTGCTGTGACGATAACCAACTTCATTATTCAACTCCTTTTGTGAAGTCTACTGTATGGATTATGTCTTGTGTGAGTCATTCTCACACAAACCAAAGCAAAGGCACACATCTTAGCTGGGGACAGAGGAGGAGGAACGGCCGTGAAGCTGATGGTAGGTGGGATATGTGCCAATGATTCTCTATTTTGTTTTATTTTGTTTTGTGTTTTCCTTACTGGGGATCGAACCTGGCGCCTCACATATGCTATGCGAGGTATTCACCACTGAGTTACACCCCTAGCCCTTGTTTGCTTTTTGTTTCATCAGTGCTGGGATTGAACCAAGTGCCTAGGGCATGCTGGGCAAATGCTCTACCACTGAGCTACCCCAGCCCTCCCATGGTTCTGAAGATTGGAGAACTCACAGCTGAGAGAGAACCTGCAGATGTCAGTCCCCTGGAATCTGCAAAAGCTTTCAGCTAGTCATTAGAATTTTCCCCAAATAAGTCACTACTGAGCTCATATTCTGAGGAAAATATAGAAAGAAAACTGTATCAAAATCACTTGTCCTGGGTGCAGGTGGAAAGCCCTTTCTTCTAGGAGCAGGAGTTAGCTGAAGAGAGATGGAGACATCAGCATTTGGAAGTCTAAAGAGGCAGGCAGAAGGGAGCACACGCTGGCCAGTGATGTAGACAGAGAGACACGGAGAGAAGAATCCACCATGAAGCTGCTGCACTCACACCGCTCCCCACACAGCTGGAAACACTCTCCTTGGAGAACAGAAAGTTTCAGGAAGCACAGAGAGGTTGGCAGGGTGACAGAAAGGACAGCAGCACACTGTTGTCTGCAAATGCCACTGATACCCTGTAAAGAAGCACACACAGCATAGATAGTCGGCCCCGGAGACTTGGGCAGGGGGTCCCTTAGAGAAGGGGAGGAGAGGTGAGGAAGAAGGGCTGGGCTCTGGCACCTCACTCCGACCAGCTTCAGATAGGGGCTCAGGATCTGAAAGGAGGTGAAATGTGTCCTCAAGCAGCCAGAATCAGGCCAGTCCCAGCTTCCCTCCCCAGCAGAGCAGGAACCAACTCAGGGAGAGGCCAGTGCTCTTCCCTCTTTCCCCACCCCACATCCACCCTGAGATGAAGAAAGCTCGTGCTTCCACAGACCTCACCTTATGTGTCCTGTTCAGGGCCCTGGAAGGGGTTCACATGATCACATATCACTGAGAGTTGGTGTCTCGCTGAAGATTTGCAAAATGAGGCCCATTTTTTGGTATTCATTGTCCTAAAGAGGGTTCTCCAAAATCTACCAGCTTTAGGCTCCACAAAACCTTGCTCTGAGGGCTCAATACAGGTTACTTTCAGGACACACATGCTTAAATATCACATGGTTTCTCGTCTATGAGAAAACTAAATTATAAATAAAGAAAGAGATAGAAGACAATGGGAGATAGGGAGATAATGAGATTCTGTTTCTTAATTAAAAATAAACAAATAAGTGCCTTAAACAGGTGTAAGATAAATTCCAATGTAAAAGATGTCCTTTTTATATGCCAGAAGGTTTTAGCGCCCAGGATTTAGCTCAGTGATGCCACTGCCTGCCTCTCAGGTGCAAGGTCTTGAGTTCAATCTTTGTTACCGAAAAAAAAAAAAAAAAAAAAGGGCCGGGGATTTAGCTCAGTGGTTCCAGCACCTGCCTGGCAAGCACAAGGTCCCGAGTTTAATCCCCAGTGCCAAAAATAAATAAATAAATAAAAATAATAAAAGAGCTACCACTTTAGAGGTATGCTCCATTTTCTGATTTCCATATTAATAACAAGAATACTCTTCCAGTTTATTCAGGATGCCTGTTTCAGAGCCGAAGGTTTTAACATACTTATAATCAAGAATGGAAAATGAAGGCTGACGCAAATCTATACAAACAACAATTTAGTTCTCAGGCTTGGCTGAAACAAAACAAAACAAAATGAAAAAACAAAACAAGCCAAACCCCTACGAGGATAGAGATACAATTTTTTTCTCTCACAGTTTCTTGTAAAGCTATTTGAGAGTCTTAGTAAGCATGTTGCGTGTCATACTTGTGAGTTAAACTATAAGAAAGCACCTGCTTCTAGAAACTACAATTCATAGATTTGTGACTTGCAAATTGTGGGTGTATAGTTCGCATTTGCTTACTTCCTAGTGCCTACTGGAATCTAAGGTCAAGAAATTAAAGATAAGAACTCTAATATGTATATGTAATTAAGATCATTAGAAATAATAAGAGAAAAACTGTATGCAAGTTTCACATCTTCAGTAAAGAAAAGCTATGAGGTATGGGGATATAGTTTTTTCTTTTTTCCCAGTACTGGGGATCGAACCAGGACCTTGTGCTTATGAGGCAGGCGGCAGAACCACTGAGCTAAGTCCTCGGCCCTTATGCTTTGTTTTTTTAGAGAAAAAAAGAGTAATTTTTGCCATGAAGCAGAATGGTTGGTTATTCTAAAAGGAGAAGAGGAAAACTACAGGACAAAACCCAAATGGATAGTAAAGTGTAGGAAGTTTGAGGAAGATGAATCTTGTGAAATGAATTTATGTATGGTTAATCTGGCTAAGATTAGAGGAAATTATACACTTTCCTAAAAACTAAGTATTAATATCAAAAGTTGGATGCAAACTGGAATTTGGTGTTCTCTGTTTAAACCACAAGATTTTCTTGGACTATTGGTCTGCTCCCCCACCCCTGCCTCCATTTCGTGGCTCTGGGGTTTGAATCCAGGACCTTTGCACTTAGCTACATCCCCATCCCCATCCCTTTTTACTTTTTATTTTGAGACAGGGTCTTGCTAAATTGCTAAGTATCCCAGGCTGGACTCAAACTTGTAATTCTCCTGCCTCAGCCTCCCAGAATGCTGGGATTATAGGTGTGCACCACCATACCTGGCTTGGTCTGCTTTTAGTAGGAAATTGTGAAAGGTTTTGTTATTTTTTTTTTTTTGCTTCTTAGTGATTGGTCTAGTGAACAAAGTTCCTGCGCTTTATAAGATAATTTCCTATGCTTCGTGTTGTTTTTATTTGGTTTAAAAAAATCACTCAAAACTAAGTCTTCTGTATTAAAAGAGCTAAGATTTTCTACAACTGTGTAACTTTTTGTTTTTGGCTTGGAAGGCTTGTAATTAACATTTTGGCCAAATAAATGGCTATTGTTACATAATGATCTGTGGTCCTATTTTGATCAAGTGTTCCAACCTTAGATATCCAATTCTGAACTAAATCTTTTTCATGACCTCCAATTCACTTTTGAATTTTCAATATGACCTTTGGAATATCTCAGGACACCTCTCCTTATAAAAAGAGATATATTAGACTAACTGGACTTATTTGATTTTAAAAAATTATGTGGAAAACATTGTTAATAAGTAACGCTAAGCCTGTGTTGAGTGCTATTTGTATGGTCATGTTATTAATATGTTTTTCAGAAGTTGTACTGGTATATGTCATAGTCATAATTATAGTTATTATCTTAAAATGTTGTATGCCACAGGATGAACAGAATTCCTTTGTTGACTGCAACATTGTTGAAATGAACTCTCATCAGTTATTGAGCCATGACCACTTCAAGTCTTATCATTTACAGAGAGTTAATTGTTTATTCTGGGACTTTCCTGAGCCTAAAGTCTTTTGTCTTCAAAGAGAGTCATGAAAAGACTCTGGTAAGTACAGGTTTCTGATAACTCTGAGATCATATCATTGGACTGGGTAGGAATTTCCAGAACTCTAGTGAAGAAAATGACTCAAAACTGGCAACTCAACATTAATTACAGGAGCAATTAATTAAATACTAAGGAAATGACTTGGCTGATTTTCATGCTATCTGAGCCAATATTGAAATGTTAAGGTGTGCAAAGTGGGTGAACTCTATTATAATAGATCCAAATCAAAATACCTATGATAACCCAGGAGAAACAAAATTGGAAAAACAAGATTGGCATTTAAGAGGATGTAAATCTAGAGTTAAGCATGGACTCGCAGAACATGAGGACAACCACCTAATCATTCTGGAGTCTTTTCAGCTTCCACACTAAGGGATCTGCAATCTATGGTGAATCATGGAAGATGCAAAATGATCTAAAATATTGATGAGGTGATTTCTAAAATTGTTACACAAGGCTGGAGCTATAGATCAGTGTGAAAGTCCTGGGTTCAATCCTAGCATTGAGAATATTTATTAATTTATATTAAAATAAAATCACTAATAGTTTTATAACCAATGTTTGGTTTGTCAAACTCATAATTCTAATTAAGACAATAAAATGCCACACAATACACTTTTGGCACCTCCTAAAAACACTGACAGAT